GACAAATGGAGGGGGGAGGTTAGAGATGAACCAAAGGACTTGTATGCATGCACATTAGCATAACCAATGGACACAGGCACTGGGGCAGTGGGAGCTTGCCCAGGTGGGAATGGCTCAGGGGTGAGGGGGAGTCAATTGGGGAAAAAGGGACATATGTAAAACTTTAGACAAAAAAATATATATTATAAAAATAAGCAAACAAATAAATAATGATACATACAAAAAATATATATATAGAACCAGGAGGTCACAGTTCAATTCCCAGTCAGGGCACATGCCCGGGGCTCAGGCTCAATCCCCAGTCAGGGCCGTGCAGGAGGCAGCTGACCCATGTTGCTCTCTCACATCGATGTCTCTCCCCGCCCCCCGCCTTTCTGCTAAAAATCAGTAAACATATCCTCCAGTGATTAAAAAAAAAGTTCAAAGATGTCAGCTTCAGGAATTCTGAATGACGTTTGTCTCCTTATAATGGGGAGAAACAGCACTTCATTTATTATTATTATTATTATTTTAAATAAAGTTATTCTTTTTTAAAATTTATTTATTGATTTCAGAGAGGAAGGGAGAGGGATAGAGAGATAGAAACATCCATGATGAGAGAGACTCATGGATCGGCCGCCTCCTGCACGCCCCGCACTGGGAATCGAGCCCACAACCCAGACAGGTGCCCTTGGCTGGAATCGAACCCGGGACCGCCCAGTCCGCAGCCCGACGCTCTATCCACTGGGCCACACCAGCTGGGGCGGCATTTTATTTTTTAAAAATTGATTTTAGAGAGAGGAAGGGAGGAAAACATCAATGAGAGAGGATCAGGCACCAGCTGCCTCCTGTACGACCCGCTCCCTGCCCTGGGTAACAAGCCGCAGCGCCCCGACCAGGACTTGAACCTTGACCTCCCGGTTCATAGGTCACGCTCAGCCAGACAAGCACAGGCAGCGGCCACTTCGCCTGGACTCGCCCGGCCTGGTGTCCAATTGCATCATTGGCTACAGTAGAACTAACGGCTATGTACCTGGCATAGGGTTTGGTTGTGATCTTATATCCTTCACTGGCTAT